TAGAATAAGGTGTTAAATTTTAATCAGCAAGTTTTTGATAATATCTCTCTTCATCAAACACAATATAAAAATTTTATTTTTATATCTACATTGGTGTCCGTGTGTTTTTACTAATATATATATATTATGTGTGGTATTCTTCATATACATTTTCAGACTACAGATAGACAGAAAGACAAGATGCAAAAATCTGTGATCAATCGACCTCGGCCAATATCAAAAATGTGGTCCTATCAAGGAAACAGAAAGTATGTGACGTAGAATCTCCACAAATCAATCAAAGTAGCAAGTTAACGTTACTGGTGGCTCGGACATTATTGCTCATATTTTCCCTGCAAGGATATAAGTTCGTCTGGGCCTGTTAGTACAGCTTGAATCGTATTGAATTGTACACTTGTGGTTAGAGGAAGGCGAGGTGTCCTTGCCACTATGTTACTCAATTTGATGTTTCACAGTGTTTTGATATAGTAAGTGTTAGTGTATATTATAGTATTTCATGAGTGATTGCTTGGAAACAGACGTTACTATGACAGCATGCATGGTAATTGTGCACTGTTGCAGAGTGGATCAGCCGGGAGAAGGTCAAGCGAGCCCTTGTTTAGCAAACACCGGGCTGCTGCAGAAGAAAGGACAGAGAGAGAAGCTCCACAAAGTCGGCTGCCTCCTCAAACTCATCATGTTCTATAATTCACCAAAAGTTATCTTTTCTGCCAACTGTGTAAGTTTTTCGATTGAGAACGACAGCTTTGGATTGCCAGTGAATGTACGAAACAGTGTTGTGTCAATTAAGTCTTTTTTTAGTGCATGCACTTTTTTTTTGAATTGTGTGCAATAAAGGTAATAAATAATAATAAAGGTCCTTACTATGGCTCTTTATGCCAGATTTTTTTTAGGGGGTGCATTTCTTTAGAAAACTCTTGTGTTAAGCATAACCAGTGCATATTCGAATTATGACTAGGATGATGTTTTCAAAATGTATGTATAATAACACAAATTTGAGGTTTTCTGTAGATTTCAAGTGTAACCTACAAGAATTTGCCATGTATATTTCAGATGTCGTATATTGCATTCCTGATGCTCTTTAGCCACATTCTGCTAAGCAATTTTCATCCGGAGTTCCGCATCGCAGACACGATCCTGTGTGCTTGGGTTTTCACCTTCTTTATGGAGGAAATTCGACAGGTACCAGTCAGTCAAGTCAACCAGTCTATTACTAGTAGGATACAATGATGCTTTTAGTGACAAACAGTCCTAGTAATATTCAAAATTTTATTAGTTGGTCGCCATTAAATTTAAATTGTGATACTTAACCTTGTGCAGGAAAAAGTAGTGCCCCTTATAGGTGATTGAATTTCATTAGAATATTGCGAGAATACTAAAATCTGATTGCTTGCAGATGATTACGCATACGGGAAAAACGCTGCTGCGCAAAGTAGTGAGTTACCTCGAATTCTGGAACACAGCAGACATGTTTGCTATCATTGTCTTTGCGATCGGAATGACGCTGCGTCTTGCGCCTTTCAAGGTATGCGTCTTTCCCAGATTATTTTACCTTCTGATGTCTGTTTTTTGATCTCTCTCCTACTTAAAGTAGTTTCCTAGCCCTATCAAAATCTCTATATCAGATCTAAGTTTATGTCTCTCTATATACTTTCTCTCTCTCTCTCTCTTTCTCTCTCTGTGTCTCTCTCTCTCGCTCTCTCTCTCTCTCGCCCTCTCGCAGTGTTTCTAAAGGTATAGGTTCTTCTTTCCGTAGCTTGCTCTAGATCTGATCTTTCCATTACGTAGAGTCCTCTGGCAGAGTATAGATTCTTGTTTGTGCCTTCCAGATGAGAAGTACGTTTGCGTTGATGTATTATTTTGTTAAATTATGTGCAAAATGAAGGAACGGTAGTAAGTATCTTCATATCGGATAAAACCAGCACAGATTTATCCACATATTATGCTACTGTGCGTGAAGTCTGACGGGGGCATGTTGTGTGTTTTTGTTAGAACACATTCATGGCAGCGAGAGTTCTGCTGGCACTAGACCTTGTGCTGTTCTACATGCGACTCCTGCACATCTTCTTTGTCCACAAAGAACTAGGACCAAAACTTGTGATGATTGCTAGAATGGTAATTAATTAATTAATCGCCTAACCAGCTATAGAGTAAACGTAACAAGGAGAATTGTTCTACTTTCTTGGACCATACGAAGCAGGGCATTGTTTGTGTTGTGTATTTACATGTTGTGTGTTGCAGCACCATGCTAATTATGTTTCAGTCATCAATTACAGTACAAAAATCTCTAGTAAAATAATTTTTAATTACAAATGTATTACTATATACTCTGTGTAATTGATGAAGGTTTCTGGATTGGCATGAACAAAGACTGCTTCAAAATGTATGATATTAGGAGCAAGTATATGTGTTTCTCTTTCAGATGAACGACCTCCTGTATTTCATCAGCATCATGGTCGTCTTTTTAATTGCCTACGGCGTCGCATCGATGGCCATACTCTATCCAAACACGCCGTTCAGTGCCAGGCTTGTCAAGGGCGTCTTATACAACGCCTACTTCCAGATGTACGGAGAACTGTTTCTAGAAAGTATCGAAGGTGATGGAAACTGCTAATCTTCCTCGAAACATGCACGTGCTAAAATGTTTCTGGATGTCACTATAGATAATCTATATCAGTACGTTAAGACGGGTTCATTCTATTGGAAGCATGGCACCGTTTAGCAATGAGAAGTTAGTTTGCACGAGTTGAGTTTGAGTTCTGATTTTTGCTAGTATTGAGCTGGAGTCCATAATCTTGGAATCGTTGTCATAGTTCACATAAAATGTGGTGTTAATCATATATAGATACATGTCACATGACAAACAACATTACCCTACACACATAAAACAGCAACATTACAAACATTACCCTGCTATGTAAGGCCTCTAAAACAACACATTTGCTGAGGCACTGTGCTTAGAGAAGAGCTAAGCGAGTAGAAAAAAATGTATATAAATTTGATATTTCTACACACTGGCATCAGTATTCTAATGACACGATGTCGTTTCATCATGATTACCTCTGTCACTGTCGTGCAGGTACGGACTGCAGCAGTATCGCTGCAGTGTGGCAGACTGGTGCGCTGCCTCGCTGTCCTGAGCTGTCCAACGTCGTGCTGTGTCTGCTAGCTCTCTACCTTCTCCTGACCAACATACTGCTGTTCAACCTTCTCATTGCAATGTTCAGGTATGCGATGCTGTATAGCGGCGCTTCATAATGCCTTGATCACGTGAAATACTAGGAACGATATTATGGAAGTACCATGGAACCAAGTACATAGTAACAAGAAATAGAATAGATAGATAAATAAATAAATGAATGAATAAATAAATAAATATCTATTCTATTTCTTGTTACTATG